TTCATAGTCACGCTGATGCGACACCCATAGACAATTTCACTTAAGAGCAGACTGTCGAATGACCATGGGGAAAATTGGGTTGAACATAATTCTGTCAAGAGCGTTTTCGTCCATCGGATTCGTCCCCGCTTCCCCCAGCGCAATGTTAAGGACAACGAGCTGCTATTCCAGGCTATCCAACTTTGTCCATGGGGAGTGGGGTGCTTCGTACGAACCGGTGGATTATGCACCAGGAAGATCCGAACTTCCGCGGGTGAAACCCAGCGGCTTGACGGCCCACCGCCTTAACCACTCGGCCAAAGTATCTCGATCTTTATCGTTTCATGTGAGTTCTCGGCTTCATCCGCTTAATGTGTATGCTCCACAAAAGCCGCGAGACGCAATGTTGAGCCCTTGCAACGACACCTGGGAGATTCGAACTCCCGCGGGCAGAGCCCAACGGCTTAGCAGGCCGCCGCCTTAACCACTCGGCCAAAGTGTCTAGATTGTTAGTTTTTAGGCTCAACCGCTAGGCAAGTGCTCTACATAAGGGTGATAGGTGACACTACTGAATCCATTTCAAAAAATCATATGTAGGTTTACTCTGTGTTTACGCTGGTATCACCAGCTCCCAAAATCCAAGTCCCAATCCAAGGACAGAGCCAGGGACATCTGAGAGCCGGCATCCTCGTCATTCTGAATGCGCAACACGGTGACACGCCTCTCTTCATGTTCACTTGTGCGGAACCATCCGCCCCTATATTACCACACCTCGCGGATAACTCCTTGGATCATGGCGGTGAGATATTGTTGTGGAATTTTGAGAGAGAAGTTGTTGGCAAGTTCAACGGGTGTGCCAGCTAGACCCCGGGCGGAGCAGAGTTAGTCATGCATAGGTTAGTGTTCGCGTCAGGCGGTGGTTGTTCAAAGGCGATGGACGCGACGATGAGCTGGGGTTTGTAAATGCGGGTGATCATAGGTCATGCGGTCAGCCTGTGCCAGGACTGGGCGGTTGTCGTATGGTGTGAAGTGATACCGTAGAACGCACGCTTTAGTCGAGGTATCAACACATCTTAACCATGAAAGATCCCAAGCCTGGGTTTTCACGGTCCTGTAGCTCAGTGGTTAGAGC